CAGGGCTCAGCCCAGCGGCCGACCAGAGCTGTGCAGGGTCACAGCCCTGGCTGGTCCCTCGGTGCCCCATCTGGAAAGGGGGGTTGGGGCCACCCTACCTGCATGCCCAGCTGGCCAGCCCTGCACAGAGGTGGCCCCCAGGCCCCCGAATGCCAGTCCCCGGAGGTGAAGGTGGGATGGTGACCAGCAGAGGGAGCGCCTCGCGGGCAGCTGTGGCTCAGAGCAGGCGGCTGCCTGGGCAGGACACTGAAGACAGAGGGGAGGGGACAGGTGGCCAGAAAGACACGACGCCGCCGTGGACAGACACAGGCACAGCTGCCGGGGCCCTGAGACCCTCGGGCCCACTTCACAGACGGGGAAACTGAGGCCTGGAGTGGAGAGAGGCGTGTCCGGCAGAGGCCCAGGCCCTCCGGGTGGGAAGTCCAGGGCAGGGTGGGGCAGGGGAGGGACAGACCTGTCTGAGCCCACTGATCAGAGCGCCCACCGCGAACTGTAGCGACTCGCCATCCTTCTCTCCTGATGAGGGGGATCCGGGGACCATTAGTCTCGGAATTGCCGCAGAGGAGAGCGTTAGGAGAAAAATAAATTGGAAAGGAACCCATCGGAGCTGTGATTGGGATACAGTGTATCATAGGCAATTGAATTGCAAATACAAGAGGGTCCCTTGTCGATTGATTTCAGCGAGTAAACAATTTGGGTATTTAAATGGAAACTCTCGAAGGGAAGGGAGCAGGGACTGGGTTCGAGAGAGAACCGAAAACCTCGGGCCGAAAGCTGGCTCTGGAACTCTGGGCGGAAGGAGGGCGCGCCCCTGCCCGGCCTGCAGCTCCCGGCTGCCTCTGACCGGGGCCCCAGGGCCTCAGGTTGCTCATCCATCGCGGGCAGGTGCCTGCCCCACGTCCCACATTAGAAACTGGGACCAGACGGGACGTGAGCTGCCCTGTGCCTGAGCTCAGGGCGGGCAGGGTGGACGCAGGACACCATTCCTCAGGCTCTGAGAACGGCCCTCATCACACACGCACGGACACGCACGGACACGCACATGCGCACACGTGCACACAGACACCCTCGCACACAGGAGTGAGTATCGGCCTCTCTGGCTCTGGTGGCCACACCTGCAGGGTCACCGCCAGGCCGTCTGGGACACGCTGGGGCAGGTGGGGGCTGGGGAGGGTTCTGAGCTGCCTGGGCAGGACACTGAAGACAGAGGGGAGGGGACAGGTGGCCAGAAAGACACGACGCCGCCGTGGACAGACACAGGCACAGCTGCCGGGGCCCTGAGACCCTCGGGCCCACTTCACAGACGGGGAAACTGAGGCCTGGAGTGGAGAGAGGCGTGTCCGGCAGAGGCCCAGGCCCTCCGGGTGGGAAGTCCAGGGCAGGGTGGGGCAGGGGAGGGACAGACCTGTCTGAGCCCACCGATCAGAGCGCCCACCGCGAACTGTAGCGACTCGCCATCCTTCTCTCCTGATGAGGGGGATCCGGGGACCATTAGTCTCGGAATTGCCGCAGAGGAGAGCGTTAGGAGAAAAATAAATTGGAAAGGAACCCATCGGAGCTGTGATTGGGATACAGTGTATCATAGGCAATTGAATTGCAAATACAAGAGGGTCCCTTGTCGATTGATTTCAGCGAGTAAACAATTTGGGTATTTAAATGGAAACTCTCGAAGGGAAGGGAGCAGGGACTGGGTTCGAGAGAGAACCGAAAACCTCGGGCCGAAAGCTGGCTCTGGAACTCTGGGCGGAAGGAGGGCGCGCCCCTGGCTGGCCGAGCACCTGGCTGCCTGCCCGGTGCCACCTGTGTTCCTGCGAGCCTCCCACGGCCACTGTGGCTCCTCGGTGTGCACGTGGCTCCCCACCACGGGGCTCCAGAGAGCGGGGTCCTCGTTTATTTCCTGAACCGAGCCCAGGTGAGGGGGCGCTTAGAGCACACAGCCATCAGGAGAGTGAATGGATGGGCAAATGACCAAGCAGATGGATGGTTGAGTGGATGAGTAAACAGAGGATGGATGGATGAGGGATGGATGGATGGATGG